GATCTGCTTGGTCCTAACACCATAAATGACAGGGTTAAGGGCAGGTGGGATGACCACGTATAGATTAGCCAAAAGAATATGGATGTACTGGGGAATGTTATGGCCAAAGCGATGAGTCATAAAAGAAAAAAAGGCTGGTGTGTAAAAGCACAGCATGACACACACATGGGAACCACAAGTATTGAGAGCCTTTAGTCGTGCATCTTGAGAGGGAAGACGGAAAACAGCTCGAAGGATAAGTACATAGGAAGAGGCAATCAGGATCACATCCACAATAATATTAGAAATCACCATAAACCCATAGATTATGTTGACCTTGATGGGGGCACAGGCCAGTCGGGCAAGACCCATGTGCTCACAGTATGTATGAGGTATGATGTGATTGCCACAGAAGGGCAGCCGCAAAATGAGAAATACAAATGGGTTTACAAGAATTAAATTTCTTCCAATGACAACAGAGGCTGGAAGGCTGATGGTTTTATTGGTGAGGATCACCGTGTAGTGGAGAGGATTGCAGATGACCACCAGCAAAACAGTCTCCATGCCAGTGAACATGTGGATGAAGAACATCTAAGCAAGGCAACCCCCAAAACTGATCTCTTGGAGACTGAACCAGAAAATGCCCAGCATTTTGGGGATAGTGGATGTAGACAGACCCAGATCAATCATGGACAACATGGCCAGGAAGTAGAACATAGGCTGATGAAGACTGTGCTCAGTCTTGATCAAAAAGAGATTGGTGTTGTTCCCCACAAGGGACGTCAGGTACACAATGCAGAAGGGGAAAGCAATCCAGATTTGTATAGTTTCCAGTCCTGGTATTCCTAGCAAGATAAAGAAGGGAGGATGGAACTGGGTATTATTGATGGATGGCTTTATCATAGCAAGTGTCAACGAATTCCTATCAAGTACAAGCATCCTTGCTTTCATTAGAATCTTCTCTTTTCTAGGTCCTGGAGAGACAGGAAAACATCAATCATTGTGCTGGATGGAATGATATGTGTTAATTTACACACATTTGGAATTTGTTCGTTTCAAAATTAATAGAAAGTCACTCAACATAGGTTATTGTTCTGAGATTTATCCCAGGTAATATTGTCCATGGTTTTATTTTTTCCTAATTCATTAGTTCTTTGAGGAAATATTTTACAATGTAGTGTATGTTCACGTTTTATGGCATTCCCTTCTATCCATTACCTTGAGGAAATCACCATATCCAATGTTTCTTGAATTGTCTAGAAATAAAAAGTATAATCAGTAGAGTAGAGAAAATGACCAGGGGGAAGAATGAGCCAGAAAGAGACAGGGGTGGTACTGGGGAATAAAATGGACTAAATTATACAGTTATATTGGGTACACATACAAATAAGTAACAAAGAATCCCACTGTTACTAAAATTATAATGTACCAGTATAAGGAAAACAAATAAAAATTTTTAAAAAGTCTACAATAGGTGAAAAATAAAAGAAAAAATTCTAAGTTACAATAAGAATTGCTGCTGTATACCATTATCAGTGTTTTGATTTGATATAAATTTAAGGATTTGCCTCAAGTGTCTAATGTAATCACATGACAAAAGGAAGATCAATCAGATGTCTTAGAATTTTCTTCATTTAAAATGTGCTTCCCTGACTAGTCTGTTATTCTATGAGAGCATTGCTTCTTTTTTTAATTTTTAAATTTTTCCTCATCTTGTTGGATTGCTTAGTTTCCAATCCCATATTCATGGTCTCTTATTTTTTTCTACAGTAACCTATCAGACAAATTATGTTTTTCTTCTTTATAACATATAACATCAATGTATAATATCTAACATTATGATATGTCCTAAAATCATGCCTTCTTTCAGATATAAACAGACCAAATATCCTACAAGTTTTATTGATACTAAAATTAAATCATTGTTAAGGAATCTTCCCTGGTCCCTTAAATATAACAAAGAAAAGTATCTTATTTTAATCCTTTGTAGCCCCAGGATACTGTGTAACTCTGAAGCAACAAACACAAGCTGATTCCATCATTCCTTGCCTTCCGAATAGCTGCTACTCAGGTTAAAGAACAAGGAAATATTAATTTTAATATACCTAACATTGAAATAAAAGAATTTAGCTCCTAGTTTATGTGTGTGTGTGTGTGTGTGTGCGTGTATGTGTGTGTGTGTGTGTATGAGAGAGAGATACAGAGAGAGAGACAGAGAGACACAGAGAGAGAGATTGAGGAAGGTGAGTGGAGGAAGATATTATATCATGCATGTTGCATATAACAGTTGTCCTGTAACTTTGCCAGGTAGTTACCCCATAGTAGAAATGTCTAGGCAAGGGAGTTAATAATCCCCTGTTCTATATGAGAAGGAAAGGAGTGTTTTTTAACTCCAGAGAAACTGGAGAGTATTGTACATGTTTGAGGGGGGCATAATATTTTCCAGTGTTGTGGGAAAGAAGCCAGGCTGAGAAATCAGAGAGAAACTGCTTGTACAACTTGGAATAGTCTGAGGAAATATCTAGGGTGATAGGTCATGGAATTTCAGTCCAGAGTCAGTTCTATCTTCAGGGTGGAGATTTTCAGTATGACCCTTCAGTAGCAGAGGAAGAAGTTTCCAGGGGAGTGGCATAGGAGACCAGTCTTTCATGGTATATCCGGACACTTACCCTGTGGCAGTTTAGACCAGGGTGCTTGCCTCCTTCCTGATGCAGCTGTGAGCCACAAACAATGGCAGACAGTGCGATCCAGAAGATTATTTCTGGAAGGCAAAGTGACACATTCATCCTGCTTTAGACGGGTACAAAGATCCCAGCCCTACAGTCCATTTCAAAATCTAGATTTATAATAGTTGAAGATCTTACCCTTCTACTGTCCACCAATGCTAAGATCACTGAGTCCATGGTGTCTTTTTCTCTGCTGACTAGTGCATTTCTCTGACTCTAGTATGCTATTAAGAGTATTGGTACTTTGAACCCATTCAAACTTAAAATGGCTTAAATCTTGCTGTATCATTTGCTTTCTGGAAACTTTTAGGCAAATTTCTTTCACTTTCCAGATTCGTTTCTGTATCCATAACATTGGAAACAATAAATCTAAGTAACATTGTTCATTTTTTTAATGGCTGATAAGATCAATGTAAATCAAGGAACTAGCTCTCAGAGTATTCCAAAATAGTATTTATATTATCAATGCCTCCCAATATTATATTTTCCTTTAGCCCCAATATTAACACAGTAAATCACGTGGTAGCAAAAATAACAGGCTTCTTTTTAAAAGGCCTTCATTCATAATTAAGTCATCTTTGACTCTCAGATGGTATGTATGAAGGAGGTGGGAATGATGATTGTCTCATATGAGACCAAAGAGAGAGTGTTGTTGGGCAAGGCATTTATACTCATTTTAAATCTTTATTAATATTAACATAACCCAACTTTGCTCACTTTGAGGGGAACTGTGTTCTTTCTTTCATCTCCTAAACTCTGTGGAACCAAGGCAGTTGATGAGTGTGGGTAATAATCTCTATTTAAGCATTTTTTCTTTTTTTGGTACTGGGGATTGAATCCAGGGGTGCTGAAACACTGAGCCAAATCCCCAGATCATTTTATATTTTATTTTGAGAAAGGATCTTGATAAGTTGCTTAGAGGTTCACTAAGTTGCTGTGGATGGCTTTTAACTTATGATCCTCCTGCCTCAGCCTCCTGAGCTGTTGAGATTACAGGTGTATAGTGCACGGTTTAATTCTGCATTTTCAAGACTGAGTCATGAAATAGGTTAGGGAGGCAGGCTCAGTTTGGCTGCTGTAGCAGTGGTATTTATTTATACAGATAAAGGCTTGGAATTGGTTTCATAAAGTTGACAAAATTTGAAGAACATAGTGCAGACCAAATATTTGTCATTCCATTTGGAAATTGACATTAATCACCATTCAACCCCCAACTCAAATACATGACAGTGTCTTATAGGGGTGTCTTTCTGTCTTATATAAACCAGAGTGAGTTTAGTTGCTGGCCTTTCCCACTGTAATATGTAAATTTGCTAGTCTGAGCAATTTTCATTATTTTTGACAGTTGGTGTCAATATGATTATATTTGTGGTATTTGTCTAGAGCAAGTGTACTGGGTATCTGAATATTTGTGTGTGTGTTGGCCAGTGGGTGGTGTATAATAGAAAGAAAGAGAGGGAAAATAATATAAATGGATATAAAGGGCAAAAAAACAAAAATAAAAAAGAAATTCTGTATATGCGTATTACTCGTTGGTATGCTACAGTCCTCAGCTGTGGACGCTGTACAATCCTACATGCTCTAATGCATTTGTCTGTGACGTTAATGGCACTTGGTATAACTGTTTGGCAAAAGGGAGGCTCCTGTCCTTTTCTTTCATTTGTCCTTTCCTTTTCCTCTCTGTAGCATCTCACCTTCCCTGTTCAAGCATTCTTACCTCTCACATTTCTTTTCCCAGCTCTAACTTGGAGCATATTTGCAACATGACCCAGGTTCTTAAAGATGGTGCTTGGAAGCCTCTTCAAATCTCTGGGCCACAAGCCTACCTGGTCACAGAGAAAAAAACTTTATAGTGAATCTAAGGAATGTCCCAGAATCTCTGAGCTTAGTCTTCAGACTCCTCTGTGTATAAACATGGACAAGGGTTATTAAGTCTCTCTAACCCTTTCTCCCCACACTATTGCATCTGCAGAGAAACACTGTACCAGATATAACCCCTAAGTGCAGGGAAGGAGATGTGGCATGGAATGTGAGGAATGGAAATATTCTGATTTGGGGAGTCTGTTTGGGAGATGATGTTGAGTTAGCCTCTCTCAGGAACCCTGAAAATATTAAATTCATACTATAAAGTCTTCAAAGTATGACATCTTAGGAAACTGCCCTTGGCAACTGTTCTGTTTTGTTTAATGGAAATTTATAAATTCAGATTTAGTTTGTCTACTGTCACAATTGAGGATTCAAAGGATGAAGAAGGAGTAGAATTCTCAAACAGACCCTGTAGACTCTGTGGCAGCACATGAGACCCAATGGGGGCAGCTCTATTTATTGGGAGAGGGCATGCCTCCAGATAATGGCTTCAGCTTCTTTCAAGCCAGCGAGTCTCCGGCCCAGTTTATAACTATGGTGAACATAAAGTCTCCGGAAAAACATATGTTTAGCTCTTTTGGTTGATGGTGGGAAAAAAATCTACATTTTCCTAAGAAAACCATGATATTGTCTTTTCAAGCCAGAGCACAGAAGTGTGTCCTGAGGGTGTCCCTCCTAGACGTGGTGAAGTGGACCTGATGGTGACACCAGGGCAGGCCACAGATTCTGATTTTCCCAACTAGAACATAAAAGAGACTGATGGACAATGGAATTATTCAGCTGTTTTTTTTTTTTTTTAAGTTTAGTCTTTTTTGAGTTGTTACCATAGAGATGGCAATATCTGTGGTCCAGAAGAGATTCCGGTTCAATCCACTACATTCTCTTGTTCATTTCATTCATTTTAATTAATGAGAAGATTATGTTCTATTTTCCTGCCCTCCCCTCATTGAGTCCATCTTCCCTAATGTGTCCCCATTTGTTTTCCCCTATTGAGCCTAACTCTATTCAGTCTATGCTTAAAATATCTTCCTATGACCTCTATTTTGTCCATGATATACAAGGGAAATTTTAGGATACAATAAGCACTGTTGTTGCCAAAGTCCTTTTCTCAGTACTCAATCAGCCTTTTAAACTTTAGTTGTACTTCTTAACTTCATAATGCATATCCTTTTATTTGGTGACTGAAAGTCCTACATACAACATAACTACTACTTATTTCCACTTCCTCTCAACTGTTCCTCAATAACCAATGTTATTCTTCCATATCAGCCAAATGGATATGATCTCTGGATCTCTTGTATTTTCATATCAGTGTAAAACATTATCATAACATGGACATGTGTAATTGAATTTAATGTTTTCTATCTTTCCCATTATTTTAGTGGACTGTTATTACAGTGGTGTTTAACTCACCTTATCTAGCATAATACCTTAAATGTTAGAAGTGCTCAGGCATTATTGAATAACATTATTCTTGGAATATGAAAATTCCAGACCTGAGGGTAATAACACCATATGATTGTATAAATCGTAATCTGGTCCTATGCCAAAAATTATTTCACTATGACTTACGGAATCAAATTTTCATAAACAGCAGTATTATTTTTGCCTTAAACCATTTTGATGCTCTATTGATTTTACTTGTGAGACAGAAAGCTGGCTATTCCCTGAGGACACTGCTTCTCTGAAAACTTTTTAGGGATTGGATGTTTTTCCACTATAACTCCTCACACTGAAAAGCCTTGGGGAAGACTTTCCCTCATTTATTCTCATTGATACCACTGGAATAATATCCACTCCTTATCTCTAAAAATCAAATCTACTTTGATACTCATGACATAATACAGTCAATACTCCTACTTCCTTGAAGACTTTGAAGTCCAATGCACTGCTGCTTTGTTGAATATTTTACCAATATAACTCTTGTTAGTTTCACTTTAAACTATGATGAAAATTTTGTGTTTCTTATGACTTCTTATATACATGAGTAAAATTAATATTATATTCCTAGAATTACATTATAAGTCAGCATGGTACCACATTTTTACTAAATATTGACAAATTACATCCTGGATAATTTAACTCTTGCTGTACCCCATCTTGTAGGCAGCTATGTAGGCTTACTATGGTTTACACAAGGATGATAACTGTTTTCATCACCATCTCCATCTTACTTGTGTCCTGTATAGGAAACCTTCATATCTCCTTGGTTGGGTACCATCAGGGAGGATTATGTAATGTGATCAATGAACCAAACTTTTGCCTCATGGTGTTTGCATTTTGCATTCTGTTACATCATTTAACTTTAGTGACATAAAAAAAATACAAAAACAAAAAAACCAAACCAAACCAAACCAAACAAAAAACTTCTGTAAAGTAAGTTGCTTAAAAAGAGTAATTCTTTTTTAACACATTTTCTTTTTTAAAAAAACTATTTTTAATTTTTATTGGTGTATCATAGTTATACATAATAGTGGGATACATTGTGACATATTCATAGTACACATAATATAATTTGTTCAATTTTATTTTCTAGTACATTCCTTCCCCTTTATCTTCTTTCCTCCTGATCCCCTTCTTCCATTTTCATGAGACTTCTTTTCTTCAGTCTTCCACATATGAGAAAAAAAGTACAACCCTTTTGGTTCAAAATTCTTAGGGTTGGATGAGAGATTATTTCCGAATAGGCTCTCTCACTCTATCTCTTCCAGCATTTGCTATAAGTCAAGTCATAGTTTGGCTGGATGGTGGAAGACAGTTTCATCTAACTTCCCCAGAAATTTGAGAGCTGAATGCTGGGCTCTTCTTCATTGCCCTTTGCAGTTCAGCAGGTCAACTAGGACTCACTCATGACAATTTTGGGGTTTCAAGTGGTACAGCAAGAAACTCCAATTCACAAGCTCTTTTTAAGCCTTTGTTTGCATCACATTTACTGGTTTCAAAAGAAGTTATATTCCTGCCCAAACTCAAGGGGTAGGGAAATAAGCTCATCTCTTGATGGGAAAATGTTAAACATCATGTTGAAAGGGAAGTGATTCAAGGGCAAGTCACTATCCTATGGATTTAAATTGGCTTCTCATTTGGCTCTGCCCCATCTATAAAAACACTATGCATTCTTGGGTATTCTGCAGTGCTGTCTGTCCTAAATCATGTCTGTATGTGGATGTGTTTGTTCTGTACTAAACTGTTATACCAGTTTGCCTGTTCTTGTACACATATCCCACAACTCTGGTTAGTGAAGCTATAGAATGGATTTGGGACTGTAATAGTATAAACCCTAAAAAGTTCTTTAAGATGGTCTGGCTCTTATCTTTTGAATCTATGTTATAATTTGTAAATGAAAACAAATGGGCAAATAAACTCTCAGAAATATTTATTATATTCAATATATAACTCAAGAGGATTTAAAAATTATTGATTGTTCCACATTGTTTACCTGGTTTACCTTAAATTTATACTTTGAGTTGAAAAGTCCAAAACATCAGTTGTTGGACTTATCATGTTTCATAGTGCTATTGAAAAATGTAGTAGAAAAATAAACTTCCAACTTGGATTTCTATACCCTGAAGAAGATATTTTCTTGGGCATAGAAATTTAGGTTGGCAGTTCATTTTTCCACTATAGTTTTGGAAATATTTTACCATTTTCTTTATTTCATAGTTTTTTAAAAAGATATTTGCTGTTAGTTTTCTTATTGCTTCGTTGAAGATATTCCCCTCAACCCCTTTGACTTTTTTGAAATTTTCTCTTTATCTATTTCCCAGTGGTTTTACTTTGACCCTCTTAGGTGAATTTTTTTTAATAAATCATGTTTTAAATTTTTGGCTTGATTTCTTTAATAAATTTTATAATCTTCATTTAAAAATATTGCTTCTAACCTATATTTTAACTCTTTTATGACCCACGTATATATGTGTGTGTGTGTATATATATATATATATATATATATAAAAACTTGATTATTTTCTAAATCTATATTGTTTTTCATATTTTCTACCAAGTTATTTCTCTAGGAATTATTATAGATGTTATTTTGATAACTCTCAGTTCATTATCTCTTCATCTAGGTATGATATGCTGTTAGCTCACCTATTGAATATGTTTTTAAATTAATGCAATTTCAAAAAATAAAATTCACTGGTTATTATTGCTTTCCAGTTTATGGCTGAAAAATTTCATCTTACCATCCAATTTATTGTGTATAATGATCATATTTCTTTTATAATCCCACTGATTTTCTTTTGAAATTTTTAATGTTGTCTTTTTATTTGATTTTTGGTTGGTAATTATTGTCCTTGATGAGTATAAAATCTTTTGGACACAGTATTTTTAACAATTACCTCAATATTAACTCTTTTCACTGAAATTGGATGATCCTCATTAATAACATTTAAAAAAAAATATTTGTTTTATGTTAAGTTAATAGAAATCACTAGGATTGTCATAGAAGTGAGTGAAATGCTGTTAATAGTGACTTCCAAAGTCCAATTTGATCTTTTCTTTTCTTGAGCAATATTCTACTTACATTATTCATTCCTTTAAAATGCTCTTTATTGTAATTATCTTTTCTGTTGCCATTTTTGAAAGCCATGAACTTATTATTTATGTACTTTGTCCATTTTATATACCTTATTATATTAAACTTTCCATACTCCAAATTTTTTAGGATTATTTACAATTTGTTTTCTGTTACCATCCATTTTCCTACATTTTTTTGAAGTTCATGAATAGTGTTCTTTTTTTCTTAAACATTTTGATGTTAAAATTCATCCAGTTAAAAACCAGTACACAAATAAATAAATATTCATTCTTGCTCTCTCTATAATGTGTGATTAAACTTCCTCATATCTTCCTCTGTGTGAATTATCACTACCCAAATTCCAGTTCTCCTGTTAGTGAGTAAAATTTATATTATATTCCTAGAATTACATTATAAGTCAGCACGGTATCATAACTTTAGTAAATATTGACAAATTACATCCTGGTTAATTTAACTCTTAACTTGACCTCTAATTAAATATCTCTATGAAGGAAATTTTGTTATTACCTTAAAGAAATCTATAGTCAGATAGTTCTAATAGTAAGTACTTCCCTCAATGAATTCAAGTTCTCCTCCTTGAAACTTACACTTAAATGGCATATTCTGTGTTAGGATTCAATAGAGAATATGTACTCACACACAAACACACATCTCCAATAAATGTGTTCAATATTTCATATATATGTATTTATGTATATTTAATATGTATATTCAATTGAAGGTCAAATTGACAAAAGAAATTTCTTTATTAATTTTTATCATAAATTTCAGTCTTTTATGTCTTTGGCTTCCATAACCTAAATAAGTTACTCTCATTCAATCTTTTGTAGTAAAGAGACTCTTCACCCGCTCCTGGATCTGCTTGGTTCTGATCCCATAAATGACTGGGTTGAGGGCAGGGGGGATGACTACATAGAGATTAGCCAGGAGGATATGGATATACTGGGGGATGTGATGACCAAAACGATGAGTGAGGAAGGAGAAAAGAGCTGGGACAAAGAAGGCTAAGATGACACAGATATGGGAACTGCAGGTGTTGAGAGCCTTCAGGCGTGCATCTTGGGAAGAGAGGTGGAAGACAGTGCATACAATTTTAGCATAGGAGATGATGATTAGAAGCACATCCAGGAACAAGAAAGAAATATTCCCTAGACCATAATAGACATTGGCACGGATGCTGGCACAAGCCAGACGTGCCACACCCATGTGCTCACAGTAGGTATGAGGGATGATGCTATGCCCACAGTAAGGCAGCCTCAGGAGGAGAAAAACGATAGGTGCAATCGTGCACAAGCTTTGCAGAACCACGGCCACAGCAATCACCCCAATGATTCTGTTGGTGAGGACTGTGGTGTACCTGAGAGGGTTACAAATAGCCACATAATGATTGAAGCCCATAGCCAGAAGTGCAATGCTCTCCATGACTGTGAAAAAGTGCACAAAAAACACTTGAGCAACACAGCACCCAAAACACAGCTCCTGAAGGTTGAACCAGAAGATGCCCAGCATCTTGGGGATGGTAGTGGTAGAGAGACTCAGGTCAATCACTGATAACATGGCCAGAAAGTAGAACATGGGTTGGTGGAGTCTAGGATCAGTCCAGATCACAAACAGAATGACAAGGTTTCCCACAAGAGCAGTCAGGTACATGACACAGAAAGGAAAACCAAGCCAGACCTGTGCAGCCTCCAATCCTGGAATTCCCAAGAGCAGGAATGAGGAAGGGTGAGTCTCAGAGGCATTGGGAGAAGACATTCTTCTGCAGGCTGAGGGCAGTCATGGCTTTAAAGATTGCTGCCAGTTTCCATTGGGCAGTGCCTCCAGACTTCATTGAACTCTACAAAATTCAAAACAATAAAAGGCTATGAACAGAGGATTGATAATGGGAATATGTTTCTCTAAAGGCCTTTGATTATTTTTCTTTCCTTTGACTCTCCATAAATTATCCTAGTGACACTCCTTTTTTGTACTGGAAGTGGGAGAGGATGAGCAGCTGATTAGAAGCTAACACCATACCTCTTGTGAAATTATGGGTTCAGATTAGAAAATGTACTTACTTTCCTCTTATTCAAGAAAAGAACATCATAAAGGATAAGAAAACTGATGATAATGATCACTACCACAATATATCAGCTATGATTAATTTGACATATGCTATTTTTCTTTGCATCTGATGTCATTTACAGGTATCATCTTGTTTAGTTCTCCCCATGATTCCCTGACACAAAATACTACCAAGATATGTTTTTATGGAAGAGAAAGCTTTCAATATATTTATTAAATTCCCGTTTGTTTGGAAGTTAATAAGCAGAAGAGTCCAAGATTTGGAAACAGTTTGAAACTAAGCTATGTGACATTGATTTGGATCTGACTGTGCAATACTTGCTAATGGAAGTAGTGTTAGAAAGATAAGGCCTGAGGAGAGTAAAAGGATCTAGAATAGACAAAACTTCCTCACAGGAGAGTAAGTCTGTAAGATTTGCACTACTGGGATTTGATACTTTCTATGAAACTGTGTTAGTGTACCTACTTCCAAAAAAAAGAGTAGAAAAAGAGAGTGGAACACAACAAAACACGCATTAGCACCCAAGTATTAGTAAATATTGCTGAGTGTGGTGGCTCATGCTGGTAATCCACAAAATTTAGGAGGCTGAGGCAGGAAGATCACATGTTGAAGGCCAACCTGAGCAACTTAGTGAAACCCTGTTTCAGAATCAAAATAAGAAAGGCTGGATTGTAGCTCAGTGGTAGAGCAATCCTGAGTTCAATCCCCAATGCTGTTGAGGAAGAGAGAGACATGGTAGGGGAGGAGGTTTAGTGGAGGAGGGCATTATATTATGCATGTTGTTGCATATATTGAAGTTAACTGATGCCAAATGATCAAAAGCCTCCACCCCAAATCCTACTCTTGGTCTTCCTGGCATGGCCAGTCCCTATCCTAAGACTTGGTATTTCCAATCCCCACTTAAAAAATGACACTCCTACCAGGTGTGGTGTAGATTACATCCCAGGAGCCAAAAGCAAAAGTCAGAACTCTCTTGGGGCAAAGCCAAATTCTTTAGTATACATTTGTTCATTTAGTTACAAAGCTATCATTTTTCACTGCTATATCTAATCATTTTACCTCATTCCTTATGTGGGGCCCCTGAACTCAGTCATAAATTCATATCTCCCAATAATCAATTTTGGTTTTAGTCTAATCTCTTTGAAGCATGAAGTGTGAAGAGATACCAGGAGCTGATCACCAGGTTGCACCCTTTTCTTTAGCAGGGTGTGTGTGCAGCCATCTAACTGCAAAGACTTCAAGTTCATCAATTTAGCCTTTGCTTACTATGGTTTTAAAAAAATCAATTTGTGTATTATACACTCTATGTCCATAAAGGCAATATGTGCAGAAAGAATGAGCAAAACACAGGCTATTTATGTGTGGCACCAAGGAATGGGATAGAGTCTTGATTCCGTTCTTAGCCTTCTGACTTTAGATAAGTTACATCATCTTCTGAATTTTGGTTTCATATATAAGTTAGCATAGTACTATCCACCATAGTATTGGGTGGGGTAAATGAGGTCATGTATGTCTGAAATATTGTAGGTGCCCAGCAAGGATGTTTTCCCCTTACTTCTTCCCAACTTATTCTTCCTTCTCTCTTCCTAGATCACAAATATGTGACATTTCACTCCCTAACCCAGTATGCTCCACTCAACTTGTGTAAGTCCAAATTCCAAGTCTAAACATACACTGCAAACACTTATCAAGATTTCCTCCTCTGTCTCAGAGAGTCATGTAACAACTGTGCCTTCAGTTCGTGTATATATATGGTTGGAAAAAAATCATCAGTTACCTTCAACGTGTTAGTAAAGTTGAGGTAGGGGGTTAGTAATGAAGTCTCTAGGTGCCAGAGAATCTCCTGTTCAAGTGAATAGTAATTCCCCGTTGTCATTACATCAGCTAAAGAGAACCTTTAGGGAAATCTCTAAACATTCTGACTCTGACTCAGTCAGTTGTCAGTTCTTGTTATTGCACATAATATTTATGACAAGACCCATTTAATCTTTTGCTCTCCTTTCTGAACTTTCTGTCAGTTTATGAACTACTTGGAATAATCCTTTGGGAACTATTGGATATTTATATAATCAGTAACTGTTTTCTGTTTATTTTCACAAAAGGCATATGATATACAATTTACTATTTAAAAATTTACAAATCAGTGAATTTTTTTTGTTTTGCAGTTATCACTGCTATTTAGTTTCAAATAGCTTTCATTACTCTAAGACTAAATGCTATATCCATTAATCAGTCACTAACTTTCTTTCTTCCTTTCATCTCCTGAGAACCACTACTCTGAATTCTGCTTCTATAAATTTTCTGGTTTAGCTTATTGTGTATGGTTTATAAATGGAGTCATGCAATATGTAGTCTTTTGTGTGTGGCTTCTTTCACTTCGCCTAATAGTTTCAGAGTATATACATATTATAGCATGAAGAAATATCTCATCCCTTTTAATGACTAGGTAGTATTCCATTGTATGGATATATCATATTCTATTTATACATTTATCAGTGGATGTATATTTGTATCGTTTCCAAATTTTGGCTATAATAAATAGTGTTTCTGTAAAAATTTTTTTTTGCACAAGTTTTTATTTGAACAGCTGTTTCTAAATCTTTTGCATATATACACAAAAATGGAATTTGGGGTCTTATAATTCTTCTTGGCTTTCTGAGGAAACACCACATTGTTTTCCATAATGACTGCAAAATTTACATTCTTACAATGTGTGAGTTTCCACTTCTCACAGCCTCTCTAAGATGTGTTATTTTTGAACTTTTAAAATCGCAGCAATCCTAATAGTTTCCGAGTGGTATCTCACCGTGTTTCCGATGTGCATTTCCCTAATGACTAATGATATTGAGCATCTTTTAAAGGGCACTTGGACATTTTTACATGTTCTTTAAATAAATGTGTATTGAAGACATTTGATCGTATTTGATTGTTTATTTTAGCATTGCTAAAGTTGTTTATTTTACATTCCTGAATTGTAAGAATTCTTTATATATTCTAGCTGTTAGATTTTATAATATATATGACTTCTCAATAATTTAACTTATCCTATTGATTTTATTTTCACTCTTTTGATAGCATTTTCTGAATCACAAAAATGTTTGATCCTGATGAAATACAACTTATTTATTTAACTGCTTCATTTCTATAGTCCCACTTAAGAAGCCAAAGATGAGGTCACGAAGATTTATTCCTATAATTTGTCCTAAGAGTTTTATTATTATAGTTGTGTTTAGGTTTTGATCTAATTTAATTTAATTTTTGTATATAGTAGGGATATCCACTTGTGTTTCTATCATTTGTTGAAGAGATTATTATTTCTTCCAGGGAATGATTATGGAAGGTTGTCATAAATATGAGTTCATTTCTCAGTTTACAATTTTATTCCATTGATTTATGGAACTGTTTCTATACTGACACTACACTTTTTAACTTAATTTTATTTTTTTGTTATACAAAACGTTAGGATTCATTTTGACATCATCATCAAAAAAATCATCATAAAAACCTGGAATATAATTTGTGCTAATTCAGTCCCCAGTACTTTTCCTTTTTCCTCCCTTCCTCTTTCCCCTGTTCTCTTCCCTCTACTGATCTTACTGCTATTTACTTATATATTTTTTATTGGTTGTTCAAAACATTACAATGCTCTTGACATATCATATTTCATACATTTGATTCAAGTTGGTTATGAACTCCCATTTTTCCCTCATGTACAGGTTGCAGGATCACATTGGTTACACATCCACGTTTATACCTACTGCCATACTAGTGTCTGTTGTATTCTGCTGCCTTTCCTATCCCCTACTATACCCCCTCCCGTCCCCTTTCCTCCCATCTTCTTTCTCTACCCCATCTACTGCAATTCATTTCTCTCCCTTGTTTTTTTTCCCTTTTCCCCTCACATCCTCTTATATGTAATTTTGCATAACAATGAGGGTCTCCTTCCATTTCCATGCAATTCCCCTTCTCTCTCCCTTTCTCTCCCACCTCTCTTCCCTGTTTAATGGTAATCTTCTTCTCATGCTCTTCGTCCCTACTCTGTTCTTAGTTACTCTCCTTATATCAAAGAAGACATTCAGCATTTGTTTTTTAGGGATTGGCTAGCTTCACTTGCATAATCTGCTCTAATGCCATTCATTTCTCTGCAAATGCCATGATTTTGTTATTTTTTAGTGCAGAGTAATACTCCAATTGTGTATAAATGCCACATTTTTTTTATCCATTCATCTATTGAAGGGCATCTAGGTTGGTTCCACAGTCTAGCTATTGTGAATTGTGCTGCTATGAACATCGATGTAGCTGTATCCTTATAGTACACTCATTTTAGGTCTTTGGGGAATAGTCCAAGAAGGGGAATAGCTGGGTCGAGTGGTGGTTCCATTCCCAGCTTTCCAAGGAATCTCCAAACTGCTTTCCAGATTGGCTGCACCACTTTGCAGTCCTACCAGCAATGTAGAAGTGCACCCTTTTCCCCACATCCTCGCCAGCACTTGTTGTTGTTTGACTTCATAATGGCTGCCAATTTTACTGGAGTGAGATGGTATCTTAGCGTGGTTTTAATTTGCATTTCTCTGACTGCTAGAGATGGTGAGCATTTTTTCATGTACTTGTTGATTGACTGTATGTCCTCCTCTGAGAAGTGTCTGTTCAGGTCCTTGGCCCATTTGTTGATTGGGTTATTTGTTTTCCTATTGTTTAATTTTTTGAGTTCTTTGTATACTCTGGATATTAGGGCTCTATCTGAAGTGTGAGGAGTAAAAATTTGTTCCCATGATATAGGCTCCCTATTTACCTCTCTTATTGTTTCTGTTGCTGAGAAAACCTTTTTAGTTTGAGTATGTCCCATTTGTTGATTTTTGATTTTAACTCTTGTGCTATAGGTGTCCTATTAAGGAATTTGGAGCCCGACCCCACGAAATGGAGATTAGAGCCAACTTTTTCTTCTATCAGTTGCAGAGTTTCTGGTTTGATATCAAGCTCCTTGATCCATTTTGAGTTAAGTTTTGTGCATGGTGAGAGAAAGGGATTCAGATTCATTTTGTTGCATATGGATTTCCAGTTTTCCCAGCACCATTTGTTGAAAATGCTATCCTTTCTCCATTGCATGCTTTTTTCCCCTTTGTCAAATATAAGGTAGTTGTAATTTTGTGGATTGGTCTCTGTGTCCTCTATTCTGTTCCATTGGTCCACATGCCTGTTTTGGTACCAGTACCATGCTGTTTTTGTTACTATTGCTCTGTAGTATAGTTTAAAATCTGGTATTGATCTACTGCCTGTTTCACTCTTCCTGCTTATAATTGCTTTTGCTATTCTGGGTCTTTTATTTTTCCAGGTGAATTTCATGATTAATTTATCTATTTGTACAAGAAATGCCATTGGGATTTTGATTGGCATTGCATTAAACCTATAGAGAACTTTTGGTAATATCGCCATTTTGATGATGTTAGTTCTACCTATCCATGAATAGGGTATATTTTTCCATCTTCTAAGATCTTCTATATCTCTCTTTAGGATTCTGTAGTTTTCATTGTATAAATCTTTCACCTCTTTTGTTAGGTTGATTCCCAAGTATTTTATTTTATTTTTTGAGGATATTGTGAATAGGGTGACTGTTCTCATTTCCATTTCAGAAGATTTGTCGCTGATATACAGGAATGCCTTTGATTTATGTGTGTTGATTTTATATCCTGCCATTTTGCTGATTTCATTTACTAGTCTAGAAGTTTCTTTGTAGAACCTTTTGGGTCTGCTAGGTATAGGATGATGTCAACCACAAATAGTGCCAATTTAAGTTCTTCTTTTCCTATCTTTCTGCCTTTAATTTCTTTTGTCTGCCTAATTGCTCTGGCCAGTGTTTCGAGAACTATGTTGAATAGAAGTGGTGAGACAGGGCATCCCTGTCTTGTTTCATATTTAGAGGTAATGCCTTCAATTTTTCTCCATTAGAATGATGCTCACCTGAGGCTTGGCATAGATAGCTTTTACAAAGTTGAGGTAAGTTCCTGTTATCCCTAGTTTTTCTAGTGTTTTAAACATAAAGGGATGCTCTACTTTGTCGAATGCTTTTTCTGCATCTATTGAGATGATCATATGG